GGGTGATCACCTGTAAACAGCCTCTTTTGTCCTGTGAGTCTGAGCAGTGGTTGGTTTTAGGAAGTCACATGACCACCCCAAGTGCTAGGGTCTGACCAGGTAATTGTCCATAGGAGGGGGAATGTCAAAACAGAATCCCCGCCTCAAAAGGAGGCTACTCAGGGATGTTTTGAGGCTTTTGTCTTTGCCTGGCACGTCACTGCCAGGAGAATGAACCAGAGACCCCAGGGAAAGGGCGTTCTCTGGCTTGGAGGCTTGGCTGAAAGAAGAACAGTTTCAGGGTAAGTTTGTGCTGAGCGTTTAGTGACAGAACTCGCTCTGCATTTCCTGTTAGTTTCAATCTGTAATCGACTTTGCTCGGCCTGTTTTCACCGGCAACCACTTCGCTGCTGCTGTTTGTACTGAATAAAATCACTTGGGTTCACTGTCCATCCCATGGTCAGGGTGCAGGGTTACTAACAGTGGAAAGACCAGCACCTGTGTAAGATCAGCCCCGCTACCTGCTAGGAAATAACAGGGAGTACACAACGCATGTGCACCGACAGCTGACATGGGTTTGTCCTAGTAACTACCGTTGAATTGTAACCACTGTTGCCAGTTGTCACCAGCACAGCCAGTTCGTATGATTTCAATAATTGTTTCTAATGTAAAGTTTTCAATTAGGACAAACAATATCGAAGGGTGAGCACTAAAAACTGTGCTACCTTAAATGTAGTGGGGAATGCATTCTGCCCTACAGATTTCTATTAAATCCTCACACAAAAGTACCATCATCACCGACCAATACACACGAATCTGACATACAAACATGACAGCAAAGAAGCATGGCGGGGGAAACTGAGATTTTCAGCACTACTTTATTTCTGTTTGTCAAATTTCAAAGGAAAGAGGCTTTCCAAAGTTTGAAGTGTGAAGAATTTTGATCATCTGCTGTAAAAACCCGATTACCAGGTTCACGCTCCCCTGAAAAGTAGCGTAGCTCCCTCTGCTGGTTTTACACTGTCTCTGACATCTAAGGTAGCAATGCCCAGGAAAGCTGTTCACTGAGAGCTTTTGATCAACTGGAGTTTCAGGGAGAAGTACAGGTGATTGATTGCACATGGCTCTCTTTTCAAGTGGAAGAAGGATTTCATAGGCTAAACTAGCTTACAGTCCCAGCAAATGTTACAAACTTCTATACAAATCTCTTTAAAGTCTTGTAAAGTAAACACCAGTGTTGTTGGGTGGTTTATTTACATTTTTTAAAACAGCTGGTAGGAGAAAGTTCATTTAAATTACAATTTGTGCCTTTACTCTTGTTTGTGTTAGTTAGCAAACCTGCATTTAAGGAAGTAAAGATACAAGTTTCTGGGTTGGATTCCCAGAAGCACTTGGGGTTTGCTTACCTCTCCTTCACCGAAGCCAATGGAAGAACTTCTGTGGGAGCAGAGGTAAACCGCGGCTGACTCCTTTATAAATAATCAAGGTATGCTGACTCACTTGAATCCCCTGCCCCCGCCCTGGGCCCCCTCCCACACACCACCTCCACACTGGTGCCCATAACACAATTCCCTCTGCACTGGATGTACAAATAACGGAGCCTTCAGCAGCTGGATTGAAACTGTTGTCCCAGATGTGAAATGCCCCTGTGAGTTACCACTTGGCCGAGGCAGCCTGGCTCCTAGGTCAGCTGCCTGCTCTTGGTAGCAGGTGATTCACAGATTCCACAGCCAGAAGGGACCATTGTGATCACTTAGACTGCCCCTCCCTCTTGTGTAACAGAGGCCAGAGACCTCGGCTTGTTACCTGCATCAAGCCCACGGCTTGTGGTTGAGCTACAGCATGAATTCTCACTCCCCAAATTGCCCTACTTC